CATAACATGAGAACGACGACCCTCAGATGACCTTCCTGAAGCTCCCGGGAACCCACCCCTGAATTTTGCGGCGATCGGTTCAGGCGTTAGTGAATTTTGCGAATTTCAGATTTTTCAATTTTTTTCCGAGTTTTCGTATTCTCGTGGGTGGAGCACTCAAATAATTTTTTAAGGTAGAAGGACTCATCGCATCGGAGAACTGACCCCCCTATAACCACCGCTGGATCCCCCAGGTCACACTCCTAAATTTTCACGAAGATCGGTTCAGCCGTTTTCGAGTCTATAGGGTACCCCGGACAGACAAACAGACAGACAGACATACGTTTTTATATATATAGATAGAGAAGATCCGTTCTATATTGTCTCCTTCTCTTACACGCTCTGAGAAACTCCTCGAAATCCCCCGCGAATGAATTCGAGTCCCATGGTCCCATGTGGTTCGCACTTCGCACACCAGTCTTTGCAGCGCCGACCCGCTCCCGAAAACTATTATGCCCGAGGACTTCGGACTCACTCTCATCTTCGATTGAGATCAGGAATATTACCAGGGCGCCCGTCGAGATAAGGATTAAATGGCTGGAACAGACGTTTGAGCTGGAATGAACGATATCCGCATGTTTTTCGATCGAAATCGGCTCCAAGAAGGCGGGCGGCGAATACGAACCGGAAGGACCATATCTCGATATCATAGGGATCCTCGGACACCACTTACACTAAAAAGGAGTAATCCCGCTGGAGTAATCAGTTCAGTTCCCTATCAAATTGGGGGCAATCGAGGAATAGGACGAGAGGGCCGGTCACGAATCGAAAGATGGAGATTTTTGCCCAGGATGGCGGTAAAAAAGGCTGCATTCATTACACTCGTTCGAGTCTGCAATCGAGATTGCCGGGAGGAAGGGATGAGGACAACTTGTTGCGGAGCTTCCGGTGGGGAAATTGCATCGAGCATGTTACGGACGTAAGCGAGAGGGATAGATAGAAAAACTGCGAGAGGAGACGCTTTTCTGTCATCCTCCGCTGCGCCAGAGACTCCCACGGAATATAGGGATTATTATGCAAAAAATAGGGCGCTGCTGGTGGCGAAATGGAAGGAGCCTAAACCGGATGTGATAGCCTGGATTTGCGAGGAGTTCTACATCCATCCTCACTCTCACCAAGCGGAGCCCCGCCAGTGACGGCGAAAGAAGAAGCCGACCCTTCTGCTGCTGCTGCAAAACCCTCATGACGAGCGGGACGATTTCAGGGCTTTTGCTTAGCCAGAGAAAAGTAACACTACTGTGAGAACACAAATTCCGCCAGAATTACTGCAAACCGCCAAGACGGAGTTCGCAACTCGTACGACCGACCGACCCTGAAAGCGCAGAGTACACAGCCGTCGCGACGGCCGCCTAACGAAGTGCGCGAGGTTTATTAGCTTTTCATAGAGATTCCGGAAATGAGATTCGAATATGACTCGGTAGAGGGAGGAGCCGTTTTTCTTATTGTGCAAAAAACCATTTAGTTGACGTTCCGACATCCCGGGAGGAAGTTCCTCGAAGGTTATCATTCCGGGTGTATATGTTCATGGGAATTCGAGAGAGCAAATTTCCGCTTCCCTCATTTCTGCCGTACAGCTTCTCCGCTCTCGAGCGGGAACTTCGACAACGCTCCTGGATCTCTTACGCAGGCCGGGACCCAGAAGAATTTCGCGATCGACGGTTTCAGTATCACCGATTCACCTGCTGTTCTTGCAAGAATCTCAGCTGACTGGGCCCATTCAGTAGCCGAGCAGATGTTGCGCCCAAGTTGCTCTGAAGGAAGACGATCGTTTCCAGATGCAAATATGTATCGCTGTTTTCCAGACGACC